AAGGCCACATAATATGATTTTGTTGGGCCTTGAAGAAGGGGGGGAGTAATTCTAATTCCTTGGGGCCACTCATTTCTTGATAATTGTACAATACGTATGGAATAGGAAACTATATGCATATAGATTGCTATAAAAAAACCCAACCAATCATAATCCTCGCCTGTCTCTATTTGGAGCTATATTTGTTTTATACAATAATTAAATTGAAAATTCATTAATGTACCCCCACCATCCAACTAAATAACCTACAGTAATGCCACCTCTCACTTGTGTAGTAAAATACCTACAGTAATAATGCAGTTACTGCAGTTGGATGGTGGTTATTTATTTACAATATTAATTCGAAATGAAAAGAGGCATGAAGAATAATTAGCACAGTATGGTAGGGAGAATATTGACAATAATTATTTGTTCATGTGTTTGAATTCGAACAAAACATTGGTTATCGTCAGAATCAATAATACATACTACAGGAACAAAAAGGTACAAGTCTTGTCAATTCTAAAAAATGGGACATATTTTGGCTCGTCAAAGTGAGAACAAACAAATACATTGGTTGTATGATATATGGTGTGAAATGGTTTACATGCCATTGACATACACGTGTGTGATAAGCCAGGTTTTGTAAAATTGGGCCCCCTTAAATTGTGGGAGCGAGTGAAGGGGACAAATTAATTTTATTAAAATTTGAGGGACTGCCAGAGCACGTTATGAATTGACAAGACTTGTACATAGTTCCTGTAGTATATATGGGAATTGAAAATGTCATCTTCACATTTATAAACTCTCGGTAAACCATTTGGATAAAAACAACTGAACTCTTCTAAGAGCATTTTCAATATTAAAATGTCAAATTTATATTTTGACAGTGTTACAGTGTTAAAATGTTATATTTTAATAATTCTGCTTCAATAATAAAAATATTATTTTTTAACACAACCATTATTCTTTTTCAATTACCATTCACACTATTCATATTTGCATCAGTAATGTTAATATTAGGCACATTCCAAGTCAAGTTGTAGACATTAAAAGGAAACTAAAATTAAACTTAATTAAAAAGAATAAAAAATTTAAAATATCTAATAAAAAAAGGACCCAAATATATATATATATATATATATATATATATATATATATATATATTTATAAATTTATATATTTGATTATATTATTATATAAATTTTTTTATATAATATTTTTATTTTTTTTGGAAATTTATATTATATATATATATATTTGATTATATTAATATTAAAAATATATATATATTTAGGGCAAATCATTTCAGCCTCATAAATCGCCTCTATCTCTATTCATTCGTTCACAACTCTGAAATTGTCCCTCTCTCTCTCTCTGCCACCGCAAACTACAAAATCTACAAGAATCAAATGTTCAAAACCCATATATTTAACTTTATCTTACTGTCTGCAAGAATCAAAAATCCAAAACCTATTAGCTATATCAATACCCATATCGGCCATATCATTTCAGATTGTTCAAAAAATCAAAACCCATATCTTTCAGTTTCCATATCCCACTGTTCCAGTTCGAGTTCGCGTTCCCAAGCTTCAGCCGCTGTCTCAAGCTTGCTACCCTCTCTTTCTTTGCAACTGCTAACTTGTATGTATGAGTTTTGTTTTAATTTTTTTTTTTTTTTCCCTGTAATTCTATTTTATGATCAAGGTCTGTAATTCTTGTTTTGCAAACTAAATCCTATTTGGTGAAATTTATTATGATCTTTTTTAAATATATATATCTATATATATATATACACACACACACAATATATATATATATGAAACCCTCTCTCTCTCTCTCTCTCTCTCTCTGAAATAGCTACTGCTATTTCTTGTGCTACAATTGGCATAAGAAATAGCAAAGTTAAAAAATAGCAGCCAAAATAGCATTGCATTGGAGAGCCTATTTTTAAGCCAACTTGCTATATTTTGAATTGGCAGCCCATATGGTAGCTCCATTGGAGATGCTCTTACTTGATGCCCTGCAAAGAGTTGGATAATTTTTTTTTTTGGATAAATTTAACTTATCTAAAAAATTATCAATTATTATTATTATTATTACTTGATGCCCTGTAAAGAGTTGAATAATTGTTTTGGATCGGTTGAATAATTGTTTTGGATCGGTTTGACAACATACGTATTATTTAAGTTAGGAGTATAATTTGAAAGTGAGATCTTCAAGAATTACCTCTCAAATTCTTGCCAACACCGCTATACCTTCAAAAAAAAAAAAAAAAAAAAAAAACTCTCAATTTACCAATTAAAAATATTAAACAAGGAAGGGATCAAAAGATTGAAGAGTTGAAAAATTTTAGAGGAAATATGGTTAGACTTTAGAAAGAAAGAAGAATTGAGCTCTCTGATTTGTGCAAGATTAGGAATTTAGAAGTTCCCTGTGCTATGGCTTAGTGATTGTTTAGAGCTTGTTTGGTTTGGGCCTATTTGGTTAGGCCTTTGTTTTAAAATCGTGGCTTAAATATTAGGCTTGTTTGAATGGGTTAAAATTGGGGGGAATAATACTACTATTATTTTATTTTAATTCTTTCTTTTTTAGAACATTGGGTAATCTTATTTCAGGAACAGGCATAAGAGGTGATATTACATTATTGCGTAATCTTATTCGTCATCGATCAATAATTTGCGAAGGTGCAAAATTTGTCCACACCGTTAGACCCACGTGAAATCATAAATTTGTGGTTCCTAACCATTACGTGCATGCATAAATTTCTCTATAAATAGCTTGCTTGATTGCTTCTTAATTGTAATATCCGTATTTTTTTTTATTAGGAATATTTATTATTTAGTTGACTTTTTAAGGAATATTAGAGATAATAGGTTTTTTTTTTAAAAAAAAAGTTGAAATTTTAAAGGGGATCCTAAATTAGCTCACCTACCAATATTCTTATCTTTATATTAGTTTTATTTTATTTTATTTTATTTTTCTCTATTGCGTAAAAGGAAGAAATAAAATAAGGGAGAAAGAGAGAAACAGAAGTTATCGATACTTCTTACCTTCTGCCGTAGCCGGGAGAAAGGACGGTGATCCAATCTTTACATAGGAAAGAAAGAGTTGCGTACTCAGGCAAGTTAATCTTGCTTTTTAATTTTATATTATATTTGTGACTTGATAAAAATATTATTTAAGGTTTTAAATCATATGAATTTATCGAAAATAAATTTAGTTTAGATTTGTCAAGGTTGATGTATATTATTTTAGTGTCATCTGAGTTACTAGAGTTCATTTTAATGATGATTAATCTTAGATTGACACATGGGTATTGTTTGAAAACATCAATTTTAAAACATGTATTCCTTAATTTAGTTATTTTATTTCCTGATAGATGACATATATATATAGAATTTTTGTTATATATATGAACTTGCGAAAATAATTATATATATAATTATTCTATATATATAATTATAGAATTTTTGTTATATATATACATGTTATTTTAAAATATGTATTCATTGAATCGTGTTAACCATATGGAGGTGTTGGTTACTGGGTACACAATGGTATATGTAATACATATGTTTACTAAACAATGATTTGACTGGACATAGATGGGTTAGATTGCATGTTAATTTGTTAGTGGATGACGTGGGTTTAAACTGGACATTTGAAACGGATTGGTTCTGTGTGCTATATAAAATAATTTTCTTTTTATTTAATTATTACTGTTTTAATTGATTTTAAATTAAAGAAAATTAGGATAAATAGTATTGCTATCCCAATAACTTAGGAAATTTCCAGAATATTAGTTCTAAGTGCACTAAACTTAGTTGTGCTGAAATACAGATTGTAAAATGACTGTTTGATGGTTTTACGAAATTAAGACCTGAAAAAGTATTATTTTCAGCGCTAAAAGGGAGAGTACGGAAAAACTATTAGGAGTTAGATTCTGAAATTTTGCAGGGTCTTATATTTAATGTTAGGTTTTATCTAGAAATTTTGTACTCTCACTAGTTGGGTCTTTAGAGTTCTGTTTTTAAATTAAAAGTGTATTTGTGTGTATTAATTATTAATTTAATTATTAATTAATAATGTATCTCATAAAAGGGTAGTCAGGGACTGACCCTATGATGACTTTTGGGTATGGTCAGGGACCTGCCTAATTGGGAGTGCACTACCCTATTATTATGGCTATGGGTCTAATGAGCCCTTATTGTGTGGACGTGATCAGGGATCATCTGGGGAGTAGACCAATCCAGCCACACGTGTGTTTTCGGTAGTCAGGGACTATACGATTCACACCACTTTATTGGATGTGAGCCCGGGGCTCATGTGAAATATGCGGATTTATTAAAAATAAATAATGGTTATTTATTGAGTTTATAATTAACTGGGTTATGCATAATTAATTAATGCATTTATTGAGTCGCTTATATATATGGGAATACAAAGTAAAGTTAGCTTGCTGAACAATGATTGTGTTTAGCATTTCTTGCTGAGCTTGTGAGCTCACCCCATTATCACATTTTAGGTGCTCGTAGAGTAGGAACGTGATGGAGACGCATGACAAAGTCGGATTTTAGCTCGGTTTTCTTTTATTATGATTATTGTAATAAAGTTAATGTTTTATGAAACTTTATCGAGTTGTTTCAGGGGTAATAGATGTTTTGTTGTGTTAGAGGGACTTTCACCTCTATTTATGGATTTGATTTATGTTTGTCAGACACTCATGTTAATAAATTGGATGATGGGATTCATTATAGTTATATTTTATGATGGATGTATGTGGAGAATTGGTGGAAGTTATACATCAGATTTTACATACAAGACAAAGAGTCTGTGTGTTAAAATTTAGGGTGTGACAGTTTGGTATCAGAGCCTAGGTTAAGAATTACGTGGCTAAATGAAGTGATAGTAAGAAAAGGAGCATATACTTATACGAATTTTTGCTCTCTTACCATGCTCCAGTTTAAAGTATAAGTTACTTGTGAGACTTATCATTGACATTCTTTATAGGAAATAGGATGTCAGGAGCTAGAAGAGGCAGAGGACGACCTGCTAGAGGCAGAGGTCAGGGAGGTGCTGGTCCTTGTGGTGTTGACCATGACAATGTTCTATTGGAGGATGCACCTTATGCGCCGAATCCTATGATTGGATTTATCAGAGATATACGTAAATTGGGAGCTATTGAATTTGTCGGACCTACCGATCCACTTGATGCAGGGAAGTGGATTGAAGATATGGAAAAGTATTTTGAGATGATGGACTGCACTGAGGTGCAGAAAAGGAAGATTGGTGCTTTTCTTTTATCTGGTGAGGCGCGCCAGTGGTGGCAGTCAGAGACCAGGATGGTTATGGACATTACAGCTATGACTTGGGATGATTTTAAAACTCGGTTCAACGACAAATACTTCCCACTATCAGTGAGGGAGAAGAAGGCAACTGAGTTTATGCAGCTGGAACAGAACAATGAGATGTCAGTCAGTGAGTACGAGAGGAAGTTTACAGAGCTATCCCGATTCGCTCCTCACATTGTTGTACATGAGTTGCACAAGGTTAGAAAGTTTGAGCGAGGGTTGATTTCTCATGTGAAGAAGTTTGTGGTGGGTCATCGTTATGATACATATGCTAAAGTGGTGGAATGTGCCATGGCGGTAGAGGAGAATAATATCATTGCCTTTCAGAAACAGAAGGAGCGTAGGGCAGAACAGAAAAGTAAGGGGGCTAGCAACTCTCAACAAAATCAGAGCAGCTCTCAACAGAATCAGAGGGGTCAGCAGCAGCAGACTCAGAGAAACTGGCAGGGTTAGTCTTGGCAGAGAGGGAGACAAGATTGGCGAGATTGGAAACGTCAGAGAGTTGGTGAAGGTGAGTAAACCACAGCTTTAGTACCAGCCACACCTCATGATGCACAGCCATATCAGTTCAGTGGGCATTGCTACAATTGTCGTGAGTAAGGACATTTGGCTCGTAATTGTCCCAAGCCTCACAAGAATAACCAGCAGAGAGGCCAGGCACCACAACAGCACAGAGGTACAAGGTTTAATACAGTTGTTCCAGATGGGAGACAGGACCGTGCACCACTAGAAGTGGAAGGTACACTTACTGTTTATGGCAATATAGCTAAAGTACTATTTGATTCAGGTTCTTCATATTCTTTTATTACATTATCATTTGTGGAGACATTGGGATTAGAACTTGGACATATGAGTAATTCCTTATCTATTGTAACTCCACTCGGGAGCCCGACGACACTTGATAGAATATGTCATGCTTGTCCTATTACAATTGGGGAATTGGAGTATCCTATTGATTTGATAGCATTGCGTATGAGAGACTTTGATGCTATACTGGGTATGGATTGGTTGGCTCGATATCATGCTCAGTTGGACTGTCATGAGAGGATTATTGTATTCTCAATTCCGGGACAGTCACTTTCTCGATATAAGTATGGAGAGTTTGAGGGCACCATGACTATGGGATTTCTCGCCCACATTGAGGTGGTTGAGCAATGTGTGACTATAGAGCAGTTGCCTACAGTGTCAGAGTTTGCAAATGTGTTTTAGGATATTCCAAGGTTGCCTCCTAGGAGGGTAATGGATTTATGTATCGACCTCACTCCTGGTACTTCACCTATCTCTAGGGCACCTTACAGAATGGCACCAGTTGAATAGAGTGAGTTGAAGAAGCAGACTCAAGAGTTGCAAGATCGGGGGTTTATTCGACCTAGCACATCACCTTGGGGAGTGCCTGTTCTATTTGTCAAGAAGAAGTATGGGTCACTCTGCTTATGTGTTGATTATCGTGCGCTGAATAAGGTCACTATTAAGAACAAGTACCCATTGCCACGCATTGATGACTTATTTAATCAACTCAGAGGGGCGCAATTGTTCTCTAAGATTGACTTGAGGACAAGTTACCATCAACTGAGGATTAGGGAGGAGGATATTCCCAAGACTGCCTTCAGGACTCGTTATGACCTTTTATGAGTTCTTAGTCATGCCTTTTGGGTTGACTAACGCCCCGGCAGCTTTTATGGATTTGATGAATCGAGTGTTTCGACCTTACTTGGATCAGTTTGTTATGGTATTTGTTGATGACATTCTGATATATTCCAAGACTAAGGAAGAGCATGAGAGACACTTAAACATTACACTTCAGACTCTACGTGAACATCAACTTTATGCTAAGTTTGAGAAGTGTGACTTTTGGCAGGAGCAGATTCAGTTTTTGGGGCATGTGATCTCTAAGGATGGAGTTTCAGTAGATTCTGCCAACGTGGAGGCTGTGATGAGTTGGAAACGGCCTACTACTGTCACTGAGATTCGTAGCTTCTTGGGACCGGCAGGATACTACAGGCGTTTCATTAAGGGTTTCTCCAAAATTGCTGCACCTTTGACTCGTTTGACTTGGAAGGATGTGAAGTTTGTTTGGGACCACCGCTGTGAGCAGGCATTTGAAGAGCTGAAGATGAGATTAACTTCGGCACCAGTTCTTACCATCCCTGTTAGTGGTGAAAGATTTGTGATCTACACAGATGCATCACTTCAGGGTCTTGGCTGTGTTTTGATGCAAGATGATAGGGTGGTAGCGTATGCGTCTAGGCAACTTAAGCCACATGAGCAGAATTACCCTACACATGACTTGGAGTTGGCAGCAGTAGTTCTTACATTGAAGGTGTGGAGGCATTATTTGTATGGCGAGAAATTTGAATTATTCTCTGATCACAAGAGCCTTAAATACCTCTACACTCAGAAGGAGTTGAATATGAGGCAATGGAGGTGGATGGAGAAGATGAAGGATTTTGATATGACCCTTCAGTATCATCCTGGAAAGGCGAATGTGGTAGCAGATGCCTTGAGTCGAAAACTGAGAGGATTAGTTGCCTTTATGATGATTCAGGAGTGGATGATGTTAGAGACATTGGCAGAGTTTTCTGTCATGCCGAGTTCTCAAGGTACACGGCTTTTCTTTGTAGTTTGACCGTACAGCCTACTTTGATCAGTCGGATCATTCATGCTCAGACTCAGGATGAAAAGTTACAAAATAAAGTAGGTGATGCTGTTAATGATGAGGGTAATGCCGATTGGACGTATGGAGCTGATAGTGGTATGAGATTTCGAGGTAGGCTATGTGTTCCAGACTTAGCAGACCTCAAGAGAGAGATTTTAGAAGAGGCACACCACTCTAGGTACACAGTGCACCCAGGCGGCACTGAGATGTATCATGATCTTAAGAGGCAGTTCTGGTGGGAAGGCATGAAACGTGATGTGGCAGAGTTTGTGTCTAGATGTCTTACTTGTCAGCGAGTGAAAGCTGAGCACCAGAGACCAGCAGGACTATTACAGCCTTTGCCCGTGCCTGAGTGGAAATGGGAGCATGTGACGATGGATTTTGTTGTGGGGTTATCGAGGTCGATACATAACCATGATGCAGTGTGGGTGATAGTGGACCAATTGACTAAATCAGCTCATTTTCTACCCATTCGAGCTACTGATACTGTAAAGGAATTGTGTAAGATCTACATTAGAGACATAGTTAAGCTTCATGGAGTGCCGGTGTCTATTGTCTCAGATCGTGATCCTCGTTTTTCATCTCGATTTTGGAGTAGTTTCCAAGCAGCTTTTGGTACTCCTTTGAGTTTGAGTACTGCTTTTCATCCTCAAACTGATGGCCAGTTCGAGAGGGTTATTCAGGTGTTGGAGGATATGCTTCATGCTTGTGTACTAGATTTTCGGGGCAGTTGGGAGGATCATATTCCATTGGTTGAGTTCACTTATAATAACAGCTATCAGGCTAGTATCGGCATGGCACCGTATGAGGCACTTTATGGTAGACCTTGTCGTTCACCTGTATGTTGGGCCGAGGTTGGTGATAGTAGTTTTTTGGGGCCAGAGTTGGTGCAAGAGACTACGGAGAGGGTTGCCATCATTCGAGATCGACTTCGCAGCTCAGAGTCGACAGAAGAGTTATGTAGATCGACGCCGTCGAGCTTTGGAGTTTAGTGTGGGAGATTTAGTGTTCTTAAAAGTATCACCAATGAAGGGGGTTACGAGATTTGGTAGAAAGAAAGGGAAGCTAGCTCCTCGATTTATTGGACCTTTTGAGATCATAGAGAGGATTGGGGAAGTGGCATATAGATTGGCTTTACCACCCAAACTCTCTGCTGTTCATAATGTTTTCCATGTCTCCATGTTAAGGAGGTGCTTGAGGGATGAAACACAGGTTGTTAACTGCACAGAGGTTCAGTTGTGCTCTAATACAACTTATGTTGAGACGCCTGTTCGCATTGTTGATCGTATGGTGAAACAGTTGAGGCGTGCAGAGATACCTCTAGTGAATGTGCAGTGGAATCATCAGGATGAGAGAGAGGCTACTTGGGAGCTAGAGTCAGAAATGAAGGGAAAATACCCACATCTCTTCGAATAAGGTACGCAAATTTCGAGGACAAAATTTCTTTTTAGGAGGGTAGAATGTAATATCCGTATTTTTTTTTTATTAGGAATATTTATTATTTAGTTGACTTTTTAAGGAATATTAGAGATAATAGGTTATTTTTAATAAAAAAAGTTAAAATTTTAAAGGGGATCCTAAATTAGCTCACCTACCGATATTCTTATCTTTATATTAGTTTTATTTTATTTTATTTTATTTTTCCCTATTGCGTAAAAGGAAGAAATAAAACAAGGGAGAAAGAGAGAAACAGAAGTTATCGATACTTCTTACCTTCTGCAGTAGCCGGGAGAAGGGACGGTGATCCAATCTTTACATAGGAAAGAAAGAGTTGCGTACTCAGGCAAGTTAATCTTGCTTTGTAATTTTATATTATATTTGTGACTTGATAAGAATATTATTTAAGGTTTTATATCATATGAATTTATCGAAAATAAATTTATTTTAGATTTGTCAAGGTTGATGTATATTATTTTAGTGTCATTTGCTGAGTTACTAGAGTTCATTTTAACGATGATTAATCTTAGATTGGCACATGGGTATTGTTTGAAAACATCAATTTTAAAACATGTATTCCTTAATTTAGTTATTTTATTTCCTGATAGATGACATATATATATATATATATATAGAATTTTTGTTATATATATGAACTTGCGAAAATAATTATATATATAATTATTCTATATATATAATTATAGAACTTTTGTTATATATATACATGTTATTTTAAAATATGTATTCATTGATTCATGTTAACCATGTGAAGGTGTTGGTTATTGGGTACACAATGGTATATGTAATACATATGTTTACTAAACAATGATTTGACTGGATATAGATGGGTCAAATTGCATGTTAATTTGTTAGTGAATGATGTGGGTTTAAATTGGACATTTGAAACGGATTGGTTCTGTGTGCTATATAAAATAATTTTCTTTTTATTTAATTATTACTGTTTTAATTGATTTTAAATTAAAGAAAATTAGGAAAAATAGTATTGCTATCCCAATAACTTAGGAAATTTCCAGAATATTAGTTCTAAGTGCACTAAACTTAGTTGTGCTGAAATACAGATTGTAAAATGACTGTTTGATGGTTTTACGAAATAAAGACCTGAAAAAGTATTATTTTTAGCACTAAAAGGGAGAGTACGGAAAAACTATTAGGAGTTAGATTCTGAAATTTTGCAAGGTCTTATATTTAATGTTAGGCTTTATCTAGAAATTTTGTACTCTCACTAGCTGGGTCTTTAGAGTTCTGTTTTTAAATTAAAAGTGTATTTGTGTGTATTAATTATTAATTTAATTATTAATTAATAATGTATTTCATAATTCACTATAATTAGCAATTAATGGATGAGTTCAGATTAGTTGGAGGGGTAGTCAGGGACTGACCCTATGATGACTTTTGGGTATGGTCAGGGACCTGCCTAATTGGGAGTGCACTACCCTATTATTATGGTCATGGGTCTAATGAGCCCTTATTGTGTGGACGTGATCAAGGATCATCTGGGGAGTAGACGTACAATCCAGCCACACATGTGTTTTCGGTAGTCAGGGACTATACGATTCACACCACTTTATTGGATGTGAGCCCGGGGGCTCATGTGAAATATGCGGATTTATTAAAAATAAATAATGGTTATTTATTGAGTTTATAATTAACTGGGTTATGCATAACTAATTAATGCATTTATTGAGTCGCTTATATATATGGGAATACAAAGTAAGGTTAGCTTGCTGAACAATGATTGTGTTTAGCATTTCTTGCTGAGCTTGTGAGCTCATCCCATTATCACATTTCAGGTGCTTGTAGAGTAGGAACGTGAAGGAGACGCATGACAAAGTCGGATTTTAGCTCGGTTTTCCTTTATTATTATTATTGTAATAAAGTTAATGTTTTATGAAACTTTATCGAGTTGTTTCAGGGGTAATAGATGTTTTGTTGTGTTAGAGGGACTTTCACCTCTATTTATGGATTTGATTTATGTTTGTCAGACACTCATGTTAATAAATTGGATGATGGGATTCATTATAGTTATATTTTATGATGGATGTATGTGGAGAATTGATGGAAGTTATACATCAGATTTTACATACAAGACAAAGAGTCTGTGTGTTAAAATTTGGGGTGTGACATTAATGCTACACCCATCCCCACATAAAGAAATTCTTTGTTATATATATATGTATATATATAAAACCTTGCTTTTGTTTCCATGGAATCCTCTGTACCAACCTCACTTCAAACCCTAGTCAATGAGATCAAAGAAGAGATGTTCTCTACTAGTAGTAGTACTAATTCTATTGATGTTTATTCATTTGTTTCTCCTTCAGCTTATGACACTGCATGGTTAGCCATGGTTCCAAACCTTGAACGAAGGGATTGTCCATGTTCAAGTGTTGCTTGGATTGGGTTCTCGATAACCAAAGAGACCAAGGGTTTTGGGGAGAGGATCAATACACCATTGATACTCTTCCTGCAACTCTTGCTTGCATGGTTGTGCTCAAAACGTGGAATGTTGGGGATAAAAACATAAAAAAAGGTATATATATATACAGTAGTCTTTTTTCTTGTAATTACAGTCAACACTAACATTATTTGTATCATTGGGCTTCCCAACTCTTAATTTTCTTTCGAAAAGAGGAGGAGATACTGTAATTAAGGATCATAAGCCTCCCAAGTTCGGTTTTTTGTCTTGCATGTGTTGTTCTGTGCTTTTAAATCGACAATGGAAGAATTTTAATTCGTTAATCTAATAATTTTAAATCGACAACACAACAATTACGTAAATGTGTTGAATTCTTGATTTAATAGCAAGTGTCGATGAGTTACAATATGGTATAATATGTTACATGAGTGTTGGATTTTCAATGCATGAGTGTTACATCAATATTGTTATACGAGTGTTATATAGATTTAATACCCTTCATATATATGTTTAGTACATTTGCAAATATTAATGGAAAAATAATGACATAGTGTTAGACCATTTAGTTAAATAAAAACTAATAAAGTTGACACATTTATTTGCATTTAAGCTCAGGGGCGGAGCCCGAAATTTGGTTCCGGGGAGCATGTTAACATTGACAAAATAATTTTTTTTCAAGTATG